TTATGATTCTTTAAGAAAGAATATAAATAAAATATGTATATCTTATAGATGTAACAGTTCGAATTATAGGGGCATTTTGTATGTCATGATATAAAGATATAATTTTAAATATAGTCATAACATTGGTTTCAATGATATTTTATCTGTGGAGTAAATGTAATAACTAAGATGTTCGACCTCTCTCTCGATAAGCAAAGTATGGCAGTCAGTCGGAGCTAATATGTGACATACTGGCGCAGATAATTGCGTCGAGCTCTTCGGTGAATTTACATTATGCCTAGAATGTCATATTTTTACGACTTGCATATGATAGTATGCTGTTAGATTAATTGCAGCGTTATTTAAATCGTACACATAATGTTACGTGGCACGTATGTGATTTCATAAGGCTACAATTTTCGTAAATCGCTGATAATTCAATCGCCGATGAGTCTTCTAAAATTAAGCTTCAATTAGATTCTAATACATCACGTTCTGTTATCATATCATTATATAGAGTTACATGATATTTTTTCTTTACGTGTTATATTATGTATGTATGTTCGCAATGCATAACATTATGTATATTATTATTGTAAATAGAAAATATCATGTAATTCTCCTATACGTGGAATATGAATTTATGTGGATAAGAATTATCATGTTGCGCGCTGCTTAACAAAGTTTTCGATCCACTGACCTTATCAACAATTTTTCACGATAGTAGAACGTATGATGTATTAGAATTTAATTGCAGCTTGATTTCAAAAGACTCGTCGACGATAGAATTATCAACGATTTATAATAATTACGATTCGCATAGCGGGAAATCACTGCGGCGCGCGCGTACAGAAGAAAGAAAGAAAAAAAATGTGCCAGCGTAATTACTTATCTTATATGAACTTAATGAATCAATAACTGAATGAATAGATATTGCGTGGGTGCGCGTGAAGTACTCATACAGCGTCCCGCGAGAGAAAGACTCGTTGTCGATTTATCTCGTTGTTCATAACGAATTTGCGTCCTATTAATATCGACGGTTACATTGTCGACCCGTTATCACTCAATACACGAGATTCTGTGTGTTTGTTACACGAACTTTGAACTATATTTTCGACTAATCTTTTTCTGAATATTTATTACAAATCTCGAGACACGCAATCTCGCTTCCCGAATTCGGATGGATATTTCTTTCTGGTTGTATATATACGCTACCTTTCGTACGAAATTTTTTTTTTTCATCGTACAATTAGTGGATCGTTCGAAACACGCGTTATAGTATTCGCAAGAAGGGAACCCATCACCACCCGCGCGTTCCCGCACTGTCACCGGCGTTGATGATCTTTCGCTATCCTCGTCTGTGATTTCAGTCGGCCGGACACGGTGGCATCTGGCGGTTAAAAATATTTCTTCCGTGGACGTGCCGCAGGCACGCGCGCTTTTTGTTCGGTTGTCTCAAGTAAGCGAGGCTATAGTCGCGAATCTGTGCGCTTCGCGTAGTAATTATGCCGGGCGGGAAGTCTAGAGACAGAAATACTTCACGTACCGAGAGCGCGGTAAGAGTTCGCGCGGCAACAACGAAGAACCGTGACGGCGTGTACGTGTATACGTAGACGCGTATAATGTCGAGACGTAGACAATAGAAATAGAAAAGCAGCGCGATAAACTCGGTATATGTTCTACAAAAGAGAGAGGAAGAGAGAGAAATGTATAGAGAGAAAGAGCAACGGACTCTGTCGGCGAGATTTCTTCGCGCCCGATTGGACGTTTGTTATACACTGACTGATTGCCACGACTGACAATCGTGACTTATGAGATTACTATTTAGCACGCGTAGTTATACCGAAACATATCTTTGCTAAGTACGTGTCCAGCTTATTTTAGCAAGCCTTGCCAAACTTTTAAGCTCATTTTTGAAAAAATTGTTAAAGCGTCAGGAGTGTGTATTCTGTTTTTTTTTCTTGCCTCTATAAGAGAGAGAGCTTGTATCTTAAAAGGTGTTACAATTATAAAATTATTTTTTTACCAAAACGTTGAATATTTTCTTGAATATTTGTTTGAAAGAAGGAAAATAAAACTTTGGCGGTTTTACGCTCTTTTTATCGTGACAGCTCATAAATGCAAATAATTCAATATATCTGTCTATTCCTAAGAATAAATATAAATATATTCTTTATAAAATTGTCAGACATGCTGCAAAAGAGAAATTGGGCGTACCCCGACTTTATCGCATCTACGGGGTCATACGGCACGCGATAGACTTTCGACTAATCGTAAAACGACTAGTAGTCTCTCTTTCCCGACTAGACGGGAAGTGAACGGCGTCAAAATCCATCAAATCGCGCATCGCGATTTATCGTGCTCCGATCTCGCGCTTGTTATCTTCGTCACGTATAGCACGCTGCATTGGAGATACACGTTCGCTCATAGCAGACCGCAGCACGTGCTCCTCGACGAGCCCCGATCCGCCGACGACTCGCGATTCGCGCGTGTGCATCGAGCGGGAACGCACGTGCTCACACAATCCCAGTGCACGGGACGTATCGCGCGAGTTCGCGCGGCGCAAAAAATGCGCTCGAAGGCGTGCGTGCAGCATGGATATTATTACGGCCATTGTAGCACACATTGTAATACGCGCCGTGTTATATGTGCCCTCCCCACATTATCAGCGTGCTGACCGTTTTGCTCGGTATTTTTTGTATGTGCGATTTGCATAATAGACTGTGATAAGGCATATCGAACACGACCAGAGAAAGAGACGCCGGCATTATAATTCTGGCTTTCTTAAATTCGCAAGAATTAAGGGCAACCCTCTTTCTTTTAAGACAAGGAATAATTTATAGGTATTAATCTACATATAACATTAATTTTTTACGATATACAAATGTTTTCTTGACTTACAAAATGTGATTTGAAACAGATAGTTATAGATATGAGTTACAAACAATTATATTAACATTAAAATATTAATAAGAAACTGTTAATACTTTTTGAAATAAGGTGTATACATACATATATACACACGTTATATGCAATAAGAAATTATGCGTAGATCCTCAAACGCCTTTACGCAACACGCACAACATATCTCATACAAATATTATCCCTTTATTTTCACAAATATTATCTTTGTCATAAATAGATTTCCGGAAAAGAGAAATTAGCTTATATTGATTCAGCTAGCGAAACAATCCCATTAAAACTTCCTGATGCTTTTTTATATATTTATATATGATTGGTTAAAAATATATTCTTGTTCAAAATATTAAGTTGATTCTTAGAGATTAAACGGCAAACCAAATTAAGTACGCGTACTCACAGATACAATTTATATTTAATATATTTCTTGGAAGGATTAATTGATCGATTAATCCACACATTGTGGAGGAGGATTATATAGATCTTTTTACGTACAACGCATCATATAAATATTATCTTTATCCGCGCGATACAGTTATAGCAGCGCCTAAAGCGATAGCCGATGACAGCCGCGGTATCATTATATATTTCAAAACTTTATGATATATTGCTCCTATGTTCCGAGAAGATGCATGCGGCATTCTCAGCACCGTAAATCGTTCTCCATTTTGTGACTAACAAATGTCCGCGTAACGCGCAGTAATAAATCTCTCCCTGTAATTATATACATCACGAAACGATTTTGAACGCGAAGCGACATATAAAGCGCGTTTCCTTGGGTTGAAAAGTCGTTTATGTCTAAAAGTCATTATCTCTGACATATATACGTAATGCACTTTACCTCTGCACATCAATCGTGGACTTCAAAAATATAGATCAAACGCATTAATAAGATACGTCATTATCGCGTTGTTGAATAAAATGCTCTATTGTTTTAAATAAAAGAAATTAATACAAACTTACACTTTTTTTTTTTTTATACTTGATGAACACAATATTTCGTATAAACCTGAAAATTAAAATACAATTTTGTGGGGAGGGAAAAGAATGTTTAGGAAAAAACTCGTAAAATTCAGGGATTTAAAGATGTTAGTTTTTTTTTTATCAAACAAGTTACTTTCAGCGGAAGCGAAAAGCTTTCGCCGTATTAAAGTCCGTATGCCGCCCGAAATGCGATTAAGATTCATCTCACTTTTCATTAACAAGCGTCGATCAACGAAACCGCGAGCCGCACTCGTTCCTGATTTCGCTACCTCGCTCGCATTAGCCAGCGGAAGATAATCAACCGACGTAGCTTTCTCTCTTTCTCCCCCTTTTTCTCTTTCTCCCCCTTTCTTTATCTTTTTCTCTCTTTCGATTCATTCGTCGCGTCCCTCGCGCGTTCTCGGTCTATTAATAAAATCTCGTGTTCGATTAATGGAAAGATCATTGCGACACGACAGCGAGCGCAACAATAATTCCCGCCCGATAATTGCGTCTTATTATTACGCCTCGTGCCCAGTTATGTAACTGTCATTCCTCGGTCCGTTCGACGATATCTTTGACGACGATGCTGCCGCCGAATCGACAGACGACCGGTCGATCGCGCGATTTGGATTTAGATTTGGTAATTTGTAGACGGAAATGAATGGACGAACTTGGGATAGTCCGTGTCTAAATTAACTCCGCGCCAGATGGCAGATAGTTTAGACGTCGCGCCCGCCGGGGACGTACGAATGACGTAAGGAGTAGCGTCGCGTCGCGTCGCTCGCTCGCTCTGATCTTCCATTTGAAGATGTAAAAGTTTATACCACTATTCTTTTGCGCTGCCAATAAAAGAAAGATCGATAAATTGCAATAAATCACGCTTAATAAATAAAATCTGACATTTTAGACAATTATTTTTATGATACGCAAAAAAACAAGTTGCATCATCAAATGTGTAAAAACATTTGAAACCGGCGTTTCTAACGCCAATAATCCTCCCCCCCCCCGCCCTTGCTTCCTAGTATACGCCGCAATCAAGCAATGGCTGTTCATGTTACGAAAAAAAAAAAAAAAAGAAAAAAAAAATAGAAAGCAAAAAGATGAAAAAATTCAGCAGTCTCTTGCTTGTGTTGCAGACTGAGGATGTCCTCAAAGAGGAAGTCGCCACCAACGAAGCTATCGGAGGGCGGGGGCGGTGCGGGTACAGTGGCAGGCGCTAACGAGGAGGAGGAAGACACGACCTCGCCGGTGGCCGGTTCCGGTGGTGAGGCAACCGTCGGTGAGGAGGGTGCCGCCACCCCCGTCGACATCGAAGAGTGCTACTCCCATCAGAGAGGCGGCGAGTGCGAGTCGTCCGGTTGTTCGTCACCGGCGACCACCAGCGAGCCGGATCTGCGCGACTCGCCGTCGCCCTCGTTGAATTCCCTGCGGACGCCCAAACGGCAGAAGCTGCTGTTCCTGTCGAGCCAGGACACCCTCGCGCCGTACCATCATCCCCATCATCACCATCACCACCACCATCATCACCATCATCACACGAACACGTCGTCATCGTCGGGCGGTGTATTGGAACCGGCGAGTTCCTCAGAGTGCGGCTCGCCGCCCACTCTCCTCTCCGTTGACTCTTACTATCCCCATCATCCTCATCACAACAACAACAATACCGTCACCCAAAACAACAATAACAACAACAATAACGGCAGCAGCACCGCCGCCGCTGGCAGCAAGAGATCCATGGACGACGTTCTCAAAAGGTTAACGTGCAAAATGAACAGTGAGTCCCTGTCTATCCAGGACGATACCACTAATAGCAGGCGGACGTCGCCGCCGCTCTCCTCGACACCGACTAGCCACAATGCACATAGGTTAGTCCAGGTGATATTATATACTGATAATGAGATAGAGGAGAGTCTAGGGTGGGCAAAACACGAGATTCTTATTTCATGCTATCTTTCATTGTTCAAATGAGACAATTTAAAAAAATCACATTTTTATCGCATAGCTTTAAGCAAGATAATGAACAAAGGAAGACAAATTTGATAGTTTTTGCATTATATATGAAAATATATTTAGATATTAATTCACTATACATTCGTATAATGCACATTTGTATAACTATTGACTCTGCTGTACATTCACATTAAAAAATATATTTCTCTATCTCATTTGTATTCTAATGAATACGAAAAAAAAATTACTTTTATTTTTATTTTAAAATTATTGGAATTTTCGGGATGCTCTCATTACAGCAAATCTTTCAATCGTCAAAAAATTCAAATTATTTTACGACTCGCGACTCTCTTCCATTTAATATTGATCTAACTTTTATTAATACAGTCAAGGAATATTCACTGAATGATAGGAAATGATAACACCTTACTCTTGAGAACTTTTTCCTATTTTCTCGGTCATTCAGTCTCCAATGATTAGAGCAATTCATGCGATGATAAACATTTCTTACGCAACTTGGATGCCATGTTAATTATATTCGATACTTGTTCGAACGACATTGTAACAGTGCACTACTCTGTTGCAATATCATAATGCGCCACCGTGTCGCCGAGGTTATCATATCTCTCCCACTTTACATAACTGATTAATACAATATAATGGCAAATCTCAGAGGCGAATGTGGCTTTTTGTAATTCTATTGCGGGCTATAATTTTTGTTTTAATTAATTTAATTGCTACTAATTATTTAATCGAAGAATGCCAGTATTAATTTAAATATAATTTTAATTTTAACAAAGAAAATTTATTTGTGCAAACGAAATTATAAATTGTTTGTGAAACAACTTTACATGTTGCTATTATGTTATTGCTTTACATACAATGTTATCTCAGCCATTTAATAAGAATATTTCGGAACGTAATAATTGTGTGTTTGGTAAATTTCGATTTTTAAAATCAGATATGTTTAAGTAATAAAAAAACTATTCTTCTGTATGCATTAAAAATATAAATTAAAATTTCTTGGACTAAAAATTGGATGTTCAGATGAAACTTTTAAGAAAAAGAACCTTTGAATTTAATTTGTAAAATTACCGATATTGTTCGAATATAACTGACAATGGGATATCTCACAGTCTTTATCATACGATATTATCGCCGGAAATTAGGATGTCAGCTATAATTTTGTTTTTTTAAAGAAAAGACCACTATATCGTTTCTTGCTTTAACATTCTCAAAAGGTCTGGTATCTTGAATACGGTAACATGCGACTAACGATCGAGCGGGTCCTAAAAGGGACTATTGTCCCGAAACCATAAGGCCAACCTAGCAGTCTTTTGAAATTGATCTCTATTGCCGTATATTCAGTTGACAATGACCAGTAACCCAAGAACAAAAAACAGTATAAAGTCAGCGATAAAAGAGCTCAGAACGATATTATTATCAAATGAGAAATGAAAGAGACCAATTTTCTATTTTTTGTGCCATACATTTTTTATTGACGATATGATATTTTTTATCGATATTATAATTCTACAGTATATTAAAAAAAACTTAAATATTACGCGGATTAAATATCTTGAGAAAATCTGCGGTATAAATATGCATTTAAAAAAAAAAAAAGACGATTATTTTACATCAATAATAATTGCTCTAGATAATCAGGTTTAGCAGTAAATCGATTCGTTAAATGTCGAGTTATTGATAATACCAGGCAATTTTTTTTCTATTTTAATAGCGAATCGATTCCACACAATGTACAAAGTCGAGAATACACAGAATGTACGCGCGTAAATTGTTTGCGCGTGACTAATTACGATCCATATATGCGTCATAAACGATAGCATTATAGCACTATGATAATGCTCTTATAAAATTATACTTTTATTTGCTATTATCTTGCATACTATTGCGACGTGTATATTGTGCATTGTTGATTTAAGTTAGAATTAGCTGATTTAATGGAGCGTAAATAAATCGTTTATGACATAATCGCGATTATATTGTATTATGAAGTTGCATGTTATTTTTTCTCAATCACAGGATTGTCATTACTAACATAAGAAGTACTTTACATATCTAATCCGCTGTTACGACAGTAGGTTTGCGTGGAATAATACTTGGCAAAATTACACGGAGAACAAATAACAATAGAATAGCAGAATCCTCTCTTTGCAAAAAGTATCGGGCTAGATAATATGCAACGTAACGCGTCTTATGTTGACACGGAGTCATTGAAAGCAAACGAGTGAACTTGGCAACGTGGAAAAGCGGTAGCACAAGAACTGTGCCAGTCTGCTGCCCACACCGAGCAGAAGAACGGCGGGCCAAGATTCTTCAAAAATTCAGCCAAATGTACAACGTGCACTTACGTTGACGTTCACCTTCTTTTTGGAGCATGTTCAATCTAACTTCGCGTACATCGAAATAACACGAATGATTTAAAAATATACGGCCAATGCTCACGATGTTATTATCTCATGACACATAATTGTATCCGTATAATATACATATACATATAATATCGAATATGCTGAATTAATATTCGACATTATTTTTTATTATTGATTTTATCAATTTATTATTTAACAATGAATTAAATGTATGAATCTTTAACGATGTCAATTTCCTTTTTCGCGAATATAACTCTAATGTCTAGTCTTAAGGTATGGCTCGGTAATCCGTCAAATTTGTACAAAGTTGCGCATTTGCAACATATTCGGCGGAACGTACAAACAACTGTAACAACATTGTTACATAAAGCGTCTCGAATCCGTACATCGTATATGCATCACTGACGTATCGCGCGCACGAATCGTATTATGAGCACGCACGAGCAGCATTCGGAGATACGAGTGAGTAACGAGTAGAGTTATAGGGTAGACGAAAATATCGAGCATGTACATTAGCTCTCGGCTATTCTAAATATAGCCGGTATTGGATAAAAACTCGTGAAGTAACCGTCGCATTATGGACCGACGATAACTTTGAGATATATAAAAAACTGATATTTTTGGTAACTGAGAGATTGACGACGTCGGTAAAAACTTTCATCGGCAGTCAGTTTAATAGCGTAATGCTATTAAAGCCCAAGGTATGAAAATGTAGAATCATTTTTTCAAAAGTTGGATTTTTTAATTAAATTTACTGGGGTTTTATTCCATGGATCACGAAATAAGAATGCTTTTATTCGAGATAAATCGAAACCGTGACAAAAACAGCAATAAATAAATATAGATAAACAGATAGCTTGATGATTTATACATATCACATACACACATAGGATAATTGATTATTGTGTCGATTGATTCTTGCACCATAGATATATAATTATTGACAGTTATATTTAATGATATCAACCGTAGTTTTGATGAAGTACTGCTATAAATCGAATGAATCTCTCATCAAGATCTCACGTGTAAGTCCTTGCGGAGTATGAGGTGCGAAAATCTCTTTATTCTTATTGACTTTATCTACGATCCATGTGCCATCAATTTATCATACATTCTCGCGTCCGTTAGTCCGTATATATGAGAGCAGATTGTGTACGCAGAGAATAACACAAAAGAGATGAAGCGATCATTTATCATGGCTCGCGCATGAAATTAAGCCCTTTAAATGTCTTAACGTGCGATAATAATAACAGGGAAAAAAAGTTCTTTTTATTTTCAAAACCAGTAAGTACAAATGAAATCCATTGCCGAGTTATATCATCATTTAGGGCTCAGGCTAAAGAAAGTTCGTGTGGAATTAAGACTTTTCGCGGGAGCCGGATGCGCGTATTCGCTGGCTGTCGATTGCACAAAATAGAGAGAAATAAAACAAGAAAAAAAGAGATTTAAATGTTCAGAAAATATATAAATATTACACAGTTTAATTAGTTTTAATTGTGATTATCTTTCAAATCAAAAAGAGTAAATGTTTTTTATATATTTTTCCATCTTAATACGCGACATTAATTATCGAAGGAAACTTATTAATATAACGGATAGATAAAATATATTAAAACATAACTTTTCATTACTCAGCTAAAACATAATTCCTAGTCTAGAAAAATCAAGGCAACATTTATTGAAAATCGGAAAATATTAAATGAGGAAAAATCGAATGTCGTAAATAAAGAAAAAAACATGAGATGTGTCAGGCACTCGGAATGAATGATTTAAACACTTGCTTCGTATCATACCAGGTATATCGTAACTTTAATCGTTGACCCTTGCCACGAGAGTAATCATGCTGAAGTCCGCTGGACTGAAGACGCTGGCCTATATTTTTCGCAGCTTAGACTTTCTCGTTGTCAACATGCTTTACCCTCGTCCACCTCCTCGTTCGCGCAGTCTTTGTCCAACTTGTGGTCTCCTAAGCGCCGCACAATAGGCCTGTATCACTTATTCGCGGACCATTTTCTCCGGCATAAAGGCGCAGAGGCTCGAGGCAGGTTCCGGACAAGCGCTCGAAGGCCGGGATACAGACGGAGGAACGGGGAGGGGGGGGGGGGATTGATGGCACCGGGGCTTGTGGTCTCCTAAGCGCCGCACAATAGGCCTGTATCACTTATTCGCGGACCATTTTCTCCGGCATAAAGGCGCAGAGGCTCGAGGCAGGTTCCGGACAAGCGCTCGAAGGCCGGGATACAGACGGAGGAACGGGGAGGGGGGGGGGGATTGATGGCACCGGGGTACCCCATCACGGACGCAAACACTCGCCCCGTCGAGATTGCGCGGCCGCGACTCATCTATTATTCACCTGGCTTCCAGCATCGCGTATGCGACCATCACCATCCGGTTCTGACTTAATACACTGGAAGCCATCTCCCTCTCTTTCTCACGTGACGATCTAGAAACGTCTTTTACACATCAGCGGATATTCCTAATTGATACCTATTTTGAATTTTTTCTTTTGTATTAAAAAAAAAAAATTGTAATAATTATTGATAGTAGATATAGAGAAATTTTTTTTTCTAATATATAAGGTCAGTTTTTATATCAGTTAAAATCGCTGAGGCGGAGAGATCTTTGCCCTACCGGCTTCTATCTATTTTTCTTAATAACTCCAAATACATATATTTTTATTTATCTGAATGATAATTAATTAATACCTAATTAATTAGTTACCTCATTAGTAAAACATACTTTTTAATTATCATAATCTTTTTGTATATTTGTCATATCTGTTTCGCAAACGCATTTTTTAAACGCTTAAGAAAATATAATCTCAGAACATCTAACACACACAAATGCCTTGCTTTCTCTCTCTTCCTCTTTATTTGATTGAACAAAATTGACCATGATTCAATTGCATGTGTTACAGTGGAGTCACAACAACCGTGGCAAATAACGTAGCACTCTCGTCCCCGGATGCCGGAAGGATAGCAAACACGGAGGCACAGGTACAACAAGACGGCGTAGCGGCCTTTCATAGGGTCCTATGCGCCGAGAGTTTCGCTGAGAAGGAACGCCGACTATCGGAGATGATCCTGCAGCTACAATTAATTAGGGAGCAACTGCTGCAACAGCAGGATCAATCGAAGGTAAGCGCAATTATCATGGTATATCCGCATAGGAGGCGTAATCGAATTATATAAATACAATACCGGATTATTACTTATAAAATTATACTGAGTGATCAAAAAAAAAATTTATCGTATTACTTTTTGCCTACGAATTTAAAACAAAAAATATTAAATTTTTAATGAAAATATTGAAGTGTCAAGATATATATTGAATTATAATTAAAATGAAAATCTACAAATTATAACGATTTAAGCTACAAGAGAGAACTCAAAGAAATAATAAAATTACATATCTACTTATTACGGAATGTGATCGAAGTAGGAAATAGGTGATCGAATGATAGAAGTTGTTATCGCAACGTACATTATGACAGATAATGATAGAATCGTAACAGGTGCGCCGATCAACGTATCTAGTTACGTCATGCGGGATATCGTTTACGATTAATAAGAGCAAAAAAGAAATAAAATGAACGAAATATGACGAAATAGGAACGACAGATCGAGCTGTGTCTCAATACAAATCGTTAGCTAGCGCATGTTGATTGAGGGAAAGTGCATCGATTATTGTGGAATCGTAATTACGCGGTTGAATCGCGATCGTACAGATATCAGAAGCAATGACAGAAAAATGAGAAACCCGAGTTTTCTCGAGACGCGATATGATCGGTGAATGCCGTTACTAGTTTAACGTTTTTTGTTTTTTTTTCATTTAAAAAGATGTCACGCGCGATGAAGCGAAGTATGCGCGACCATCTCGCGACTCCTAGAGGATCATAGAATAATTCATAATGTTCGCTAATGTACGATGCTATGCGCCTTTCTCTACAAACAATTTAAAAATTTTACGTTGCGCGTTTATTCCCGCATCATTGGAATGTCGGGCCGTATTCTTCCGCTTAAAAGCATACCTGCGATGTTCCTGACAATAACGTCAAGACCTCCTTCTTTCTCTCTTTCTCTATCTTCCTGCGATATTACCGTACTAATAGCGGCGAGTCCGTTGCACCTCCGCGAGTAACAGTACACCTTTGATGCGTCTGCATCACGCTAGAATGCAATTCGCGATCGCGCCATCAGACGCGAGCGTTGCGGCACAATGGGATCTCATTGAAATCGCTCCGGCCTGCGTATCGGATTCGATAACCGCGTCGAGATTAGTATCGTCTTCGCGGCGATGACTCGATACTCTTCGCGCGGTCTCGAAAAGCATGGGTCATTGCGTGGCTGTGGCGAAACACAACAGCCAACCACACCGCTGTCTCCGTCGCCGCTCGAAGGAATCGCGGGAGACCGGAGGAACCTGTCTGCCCGCAAAAATGCGAGCGCGTGCAGATAATGCCCAACGTGTATTACCGTTATTATGCCAGTCATTTACGTGCTGTGGAAAAGATGTTTCTTCCACAATGTCCCGCTAAATTCGCCCGCCGGCAAAATTCTACGAATGCATTCGTGTAAATATCCGTCATGTGAGCGCGGCAGGTAAAGAGGCCCACATACTTGAACATTGATATACGGAATTCGGGAGCGGTAACAACATCCGTGGAGTATAAACAACAAACCCTCGAGATATTCTTGAAATCTCGCGGGCGGCTTATGTCGCAATCCATAACGAAGAATGCGGCGGACAAATCGCGCTGACACATATTATATTTATGTGCATGAGAAACGAAGATGTATTCAACAAGAAAAATTAAAAATGTGTGGATTTTTTTTCTCCGATAATAAATTGGCTGTTATGCTTATAAACGAATCGATAACTCTTTATATGAAATTTATTCAAATTTTGTACTAACAAATTATATTCCACCAAAAAAGCAAAATAATTTTTGAATTTAATCAAATTTGAAATTATAATTTAACTCGTTTATTTATAAAAATGTTTTTCTGCAGTTTTAAACATACTTGTTGGCAACGCATTACACATTTAATACCATAATTTTTTTAAAGGAGTATTCTTGTAAAAGAGCAAATATTTACGAGAATTAAAAATGTATTATTATTTTGTTTTTATAAAATCTATGATTAATAACGTAAAATTATTTCAATAACATTTGCAAGCTCACGTAAGAATAAGAACACCGGTTAATATTAGATAATTAGATAATTAATCATGCGAAAGAAGAAGAAAGAGAAATAGCCAGCGGAATTGGAAATTATTACGATCATCTGTAATTACGTTAATAAATCCACAATCGAGAGGCGCATAATACCAGCAATAATGTTTTAATGATACGAAAAAGGAAGGATAAAGGAAAATAGAAAAAAAGAATAAATGATTTCTCCATGTTTTCTTGTAATTGATATATTTTAATTATTGTATAGTTGAGTTAAAAATTTTTAAACTCTGGAAAGGTTTTCTAAATGAACTTGCAAGTTGCCTATCCACACAATAATCAATTAATATATTTGGTTGTATAATTGAAATAGATATAAATACGCCGATTATATTGGTGTCAATCATTGAACGTGGATAAATTATCATAAAAGATGTTATTCAAGTGAAAGATTGCCTCGATCAATCTTCACAAGAATGTCTTAGTCTATTCCATGGTGGAGAACATTCTTTCGTCCGCCATTTCATCGGCGCGGAGTGAAAATGCGTTTGTGTCGGCGGCGTTTGCGCGCCAGGCGCCTCGAGTTAGTCGACGTTAAAGCGGAAGTGCAACGGTGGCACCGTGGACAAGCATAAAGCGGGATGAAGGGAAAGGAGAGATGGGAAGGAAAGAAGAGATGCGGGGGCGGCAGGGACAGGCAGGAGAAGCTTAGGAACGGGCGTGCGAGATAGATAGAAGAGAGAGAGAGAGAGAGAAAGAGATAGATAGAGTAAAAAGGTGATAGAGGAGAGATAGAGAGACCATGAGAAAACGTAGGAGGAAGGCGGTAGTCTCGATGTTCTCCTCCTCTTGGATCGTGGAGGGCGTATAGTAATGTTCGAGTTGGTAGACTCGGGGTCGAGTGGGGATCTCCCTCTTCCTCCCCCCCCCCTCTTTCTCTCTCTCGCCCTCTCCTCCCGGTGTGTCTCTCCGTTACCTTTCCACCTGTTATGCGACGCCGTGCTACGTTGGCACAGGTGTGCGCGATCGCGTAGCCAGCGACAGAACCCGCACGCTCTCTTTGGTCTCCTCAGTCTCTACTCTCCCTCCTTTCCGACCTTTCTCTTCTACCTTTCTGTACTTTGTTTCTCTCTCTCTCTCTCTCTCTCTATATATATATATATATATATATATATATATATATATATATACACATCTCTCTTTATTCCACGCATCTCCGTTTCCTGGCGAACGAGCAGACCGATCGTGCGTGGGCGGCGAGGATTGCGTTCCCCTCTACCCTGAGGCGCTTTCACAGTCCTACCTGTGCGTCCGGTTGCACCTGCAGCAGCAGCAGGGGTATACTGTCACGCCCAGTAGTTTGATCGCAGTCGACCTGCTGCATTGCGAACTTTGTCTCCCCCCCCCCCCCCCGGACGCATTCTCTTACGTCGAAAAAGGCAGTTTTCATCGCGCTTTTGCGTATCACGTGCGTCGGCATTTTGCTAATCATCAGCAAAATACATTTCCTTTGAACGAAGGATAATGAACGATGATAATGTATATATTCCATACAAAAGTCATTTGCGAAAAAAAAAAACAATAGTCCAAAAAGTTTTTATTTCATCTGGTTAAAGATATTTGTGAGTATGATAGTCTCTTTGTGAACGAAATTTTTTCTCCCGCGGGTATACGCAGAAAGCAAATTATCTCCTCTGGCGTATATTTCTCTGAAATAAATTTTCGTTTCTCATAAATTACCAACCTGCCAAACACGCGACGCAGCTGCGCGTAAAATTAGTACATTAATATGTTTCACTGTACTACTTTTATATGTTTTAAACAGAATTATGTGTACTATCAATGAGATATCTATATTAAATGCGTGCGAAAATCTTTACGTATGATTTGAAAAAAAGCTTGCGGTTGCACATTTTATTCCTTAATCTAAACAGTTTGTTTATCGAAACAGAGAGAGAAATCTGTGTTTTCCGAAAACTTGACTACATTTAATTTTAACGCAACACTGTGTACGAGTATTATTATATGCTGATAAGAACGTGTTTAATGAGTTAATTACACGGAAAAAAAAATTAGCTGCCGTAGCTAAGACTGCGCGTGGTAACTAGATTTCAGTCGTAATATATGGACAGCGAACATCTTAGCTGCGACACCTATTTATTAGGTGCAACAGCGAACATCTTAGCTGTGATACCTATTTATTAAGTGCAACAGCAAACCGTTTTGCTGCAGTTTAGAAATTTATTTTGCAAACCATGATTAGCTATGGTAGCGAAATTTTTTTTTTCCGTGTACGTATATACTTGATAACAAAATGTGCTTTAAAAGTGATTCAAGGAGGTTCAGTAACGTATAATAAGCGTTCGGATAAAAATATGCGTGAACGATCGGAATGTGCATACCTTGAGATGATTAACGATATGATTGTATTTAGAAAACATTCGTTATATATCTCATTACGATATAAAAAGATATATAATTATATAAATGCCTATAGACTTGTAATTATTAACTGCCTACAATTCTAGGCCGTGGCACAAACATGTTTGTTAAATTCATTCAACCCGAGACTATCGAATAATCGAGAAAAATATTACATAAACGTGTAACAATCCGACAATAAATGGGCGTATCTTTTAACAAACGCAATAATTTCAGAGAAAACTATATATAATTATATGTAATAATACATTGTAAAGATATATATTCATATATTCATGTATATATACATATACATTATACATACGCAATTTCAATTAACAACAATATCGTTATTACGCGCGACAACATGGTCTACAAAGGCGGAGCAAAAGCTATACAGGAGTATCGCGTTTCGCGCATCAAGAGCGACGGGGATGACGGGGGAAAACGTGCGTGCGCTGCCGTGTTCCAGGCACGTGCATGTGTACGTCCATATCCGTTTGTCCATTTGCGTATCGGCCGGCGCTTTATGGGAATTAG